AGTTATTAGCATTGTTTTTCTGGGTTTTTTTTATCAATTTCTAGTACATACAAACTATATTGATGGAGCCTGGCATTTCTCAAGGGAAATAAGAGAATATTTTTTTGTTTTGATTGAAAAATAAGCAAAGTAGAATAAGGATTCCCTTATTTTAAACAGAAGGATACATTCAGCATTTTGCCAAAAACACACCTACACAAATACAAACACTTCTGGAAGGAATAAATCTTTTGAATAAATATTCCAATGCTGAAATAAGATTAGAGATATTGCTTAAGAGTCAACTTGATTCTGAATTGCATATACTAGCATCACTACAAAACTAGCTTCTCTCTCTCTCACTCACTCATTTTATTCAGAAATCCAAACTGTGGTCTGGTGTTCATGGTGTTATCCTTTGTTGCTTTGTAACTCAGATTTGTAGTAGGGTTTTTTGTTTGTTTGACAAAAAAAAAAAAAACATTTTCCTGAGACTCCAAAGAGGCTTTTAAGGACAACTGCATCTTTAATTAAACATTTCTTCCTTGCTAGTTGTCTTCATTGCAAGCGAGAGATGAATGCTGAATTAGCCTTTAATTGATTTTTTATTAGTCAGTTTCTATTTCCTATTAGATGGATTTTATTATTGGTTGCTGTTAAATAAAACAATTTAACTGTGATTAGTGTCTCCTAAACCATAGCAACAGAAGGCCAATTAAGTAGCCATGGACCGAATTGTCATATACAAAAAAATCCTGCCCTCAGAAGGGGGTGGGAAAAGATTAGGAATCTTATGTACAGGACCATATGTAACTTGGCTTGAAGAAACAGGATATTTGAATATTGGGAGATTTTGGATACCGCCAAAAAAGACAATTTTAGTTCTTCATTAAGTCATTTTTAAGGTGAGGTAAAATCCCAGTAGGGGGACTTGCAGCATGTAGATGAAAATGCCAAAGTATGATGTCAAACTACCACATTTTCACTTTTCAGCAAGTCACTGAATCAAAGAGTTTATCACATGGCGGTTGATTTAGAGAAAGTGTATGGTAAAGTGAATAGTTTTAATGAAGAACTTTTGCCGCTTTTGAATGTGATAAGATTATTATTAGTAATACTGCTTTACAAAGCCTAAGTGTGACCACAATTGGAATACTGCATCCAGTTTTGGTCAACACAATATAAAAAAAGATGTTGAGATTCTAGAAAGAGTGCAAAGAAGAGCAACAAAGATGATTAGGGGTGGTGGAGGCTAAAATATATGAAGAATGTTTACAGGAATTGGGTATGTCTTGTCTAGTGAAAAAAAGGACTAGGAGAGACATGATAGCAGTGTTCCAATATCTAAGGGATTACCACAAAGAAGAGGGGCTCAAACTATTTTCCAAAGCATCTGAAGACAAGATAAGAAAAATGGATGGAAAGAAATCAGAGAGGGAAGCAATCCAGAACTAAGAGTAAACTTCCTAACAATGAGAACAATTAGTTAGTGGAACGGTTTCCTTTCAGAAATTGTGGGTGCTTCAACACTGGAGGCTTTTAAGACGAGATTGGACAGAAATTTGTCTGAAATGATAGAGCAAGCAGGAGCTGGACTAGATGATCTCCAAGGTCCCTTCCAAGTCTGTTATTTATATTCTGTGTTTGAATGTATGATGGAAGTGAGAATAAATGGAATGCTTATAGAATAGGGAATGAGAAAAGGACATGTGATGTTCCTTTGATTGTTTAATATATTTATGGGAAAATGAATGCTCAGGCTGGTGTGCTAAGATGTGTTGGCTGGGGGTGTTAATATATGAGTATTTTTATAAACAGATGATGCCATGTTTCTTGGCTGAGAATCAAATGATTTGTAGTAAATGTTACATAGATTATATGGTCTCATGCAGGGGTGGGATTCAAAAATTTTAACAACTGTTTTTGTGGGTGTGGCTTAGGTGGTGGGTGTGGCTTGGTGGTCATGTGACTAGGTGGACATGGCTTGGTGGCCATGTTATTGGCTGGGTGTGGCCAACTCAATATCACTCACATTGAGGCACGCATCTCCTTTCCTGGCCTCTCATGACTGTGGGGATGTTGCAACAGTCGTAAGTGTGAAAAATGGTCATAAGTCACTTTTTTCAGTGCCATTGTAACTTTGAATGGTCACTCCACACAAGCAAAGGAGGGGGAAAAAAAACTCCAGAGACGTTCCTGAGACAGGAAGTCTAGTTCTGCCAAGAATGTAATAAGGGTTAACGGAGAGCAGTTTCTGTAAGCAACACCAGAATGTTTCCTTCCTGCCTCCTTACAGGATTAGGCCAGTAATTTCTTCTAACAACCGGTTCTCCAAACTGCTTAGAATGTTAACAACCGGTTCTAGCAAATAGGCGCGAACTGGTAGAATCCCACCCCTGGTCTCATGAGAAGTAAGGATTTGAAAATTAATATAATAAAACCTAAGGGAAATGAAAGGGAAACTGGACTGAATGAGTGCAAGTGTACATAAATGTAAAAAAAACCCTAGAGTAAGTAGATTAAATTTTCTGCCTTGTTTATTAAAGAAGGCTGGAGAAATTTTAAGATGTGGAAATGTTAATAGGAAGGGAGACTACTATTACAGTACTAATACAAAATACTATTACAGTATTTTGAGGAATGAATGTCAAAAGAAGAGAAAATAGCATGTACAAGTTTTTTTTTTAAAAAAGCTTTATTACAGAAAAGACAAAGTTGGATATGCTGATCTAAAGCAAATTATGTAAATGCAATCGGAACAGATTAGAAAGAAGCATGTTCATGTGTAGCAAAAGAAGATGAAGAATGAACAAGTGTTGAGCATCACTTGACTGGATCAACAGTGATATCCAGAATGAAAAAAAAAGTAACGGTTAGATAGTTTGGCCATTTTGAGATTTATGATGGAAAAGAAAAAGGTAAAAGAAGGGAATGAATCAGATCCACAAAAAAGGAGATGTGAGAAAAATTAAAGAAAAAAAAGCAATGCATAAATTGGTCTATGGATGTGGTGGAAATCAGGGTGTTTTGCAAGAATAGAAGGACATGGAATAATATTGTGAAAGACTTGGTGCAAATAGGTTTAGTATTGTTCTTTCTGTTTCATTCTTTCATATTCTCTGGCTTGCTGGGTTTTTTTTTTTTTTTGTATTTTGCATAATGTTACTTAAATGAAACAAAGTACAGATCAATATATGTACATGTACACTATGATGACTCAAGAAAATTGCTAAAAGAATTCTGCAGAAATTTAATTTATCCTTTGAATACAAAATGAAAACAAAACAAATGTGTACTACAAATCCGACTGCAGCACTTCAAAGTATTTAAAGGTTAAAATGATATTGAATATGTTGGAAAGCCGACAAATTTTGTTCCATTATATAAGCCTAGAAACAGGATGCATCTCAAAGCTGTTTGAGATGATATGTTGTCAATGTACGGGAAGAAGAAAAATGGATTAAAATGTTTTTTGCTACTCTAAAGTAACATAACAGTGTCCGACGGAAAGTCAAGAGATTATCAGCTTCAGTTTTAATCCCATTTAACCTAGTTCAGAGAACTGTGTTCCCTTAAATTCTCATTCTTTTTTTATTGTTTCATGAAACTTGGTCTTGCACTTCTTCAGTTCCATTTTACCATTCTTCTCTCATGAGACAAATGAGGAAAAGAAATGCAAGAACATTAAATGCAGTAGATGATGGGAGAAGGGAGACCCCTTGTATTATGTTTTTCCTATTTGTGATGGCTTCAATGAGCTGCTTAATAACTTAACTTTCATCTGCCTGTCTACCAAAAACATACAGGTTGCCACTTAACCATTTTAGTTGGACCAAACTTAATGTCCCACCATGCTTATCTGCCTAAATTATTTGTCCCGCTTTGTGGAGTCATGATTTTCAGTGTCCCTTTTCTTCATCAAATTGGGTAGGGTTGCCTTGACCTGTCTTCCCAGAAGGGAGAAAAAACTTAAATTGGCCTTTGGAGTCTCCACTTCATGTAACAATCAGTCAGTCAGTCAATCAATCCATCAATCAATCCATCAATCACTCAGTCAATCACTCAGTCAACCAGTCAGTCATCCAACTGCTACATCAGCCCAACTCAATCCTTACTGTAACTAGAAACATTATAACGAAGCAGCAAAGGAAGATGAAGAGGCAAGCTACAGCCTCCTCTCAACTTCTTCTTTTCACAAGAAATTAGTGCTGCACATTTTATTGCTCAAGACAAGCAATACACAAACAATAACAACTCTGCTTTCTTCATTCACTTAGCACCGAGTAGTGGAAACAGAAATGTGCCAATAAGCTGAAGTAGAACAGCAATAGAAAAGTGACATGAAATAAAATGCAAACTAACTGCCTGTTAATTTCACTTGCAAATACTGGGGTTGGCAGGGCAGAGAAAACAAAACAAAATGAGCTCCTTGCACTGTGTAATTCCTGAAAAAAAAATGTGTGCAGCTAATCTCTTTATGAAGTTGCATTTATCCTTGCATTTACCTTTTCCACCATTCCACCAGATATGGTGCCTCTGCATGGAATTTTAAGGTGGAAGAGAACAATTTTATTCAGCTATGATTAGTGGGGTGCCTCTACAACATCTTGATCAATGAAGAGCAATACGTTTTCACAGAATAGAAAGCCAGCCAGTGTCTTATAATATCACTACAATAAACCATGCATACCGAAAAGTGTTTATGAAGAGATGTGGAATGATTAATCCCACCAGCAGCAAAAGGCTAAGTTAACAGCTGAATGCTAGCTAACATAAACTATACACACCCTTTACTCCAAGCGCTTCTCTACTAGGCCTTATTTTCCAATAGTTTTTGTTTGCTAGTTTTGTTGGAAGGGCAGTTGGGGAGGCAGAGATAAATGGGATTAATTTGTGCATTTACTTTGAGGTTCGGAGAAAATAAAGGGAAATACACCAGACAATGATCCTAATCCATTTAACAACAGAAAATATTTCAAGCAATTAGGACCATCAATAGTACAATACTATGAGTTTCTTACCCTCACTTGACCCACAAATGCATTGGTTTCTTCTTCTTGTACAGTAAAAATTTTTGGAAGAAAGGGATCAAAGACTGGCCCATTATCATTTACATCTGTTACAACCACATTCACGGTAGCAGTTGAGGTCTATATAAAAACATAAATAAATAAATAAAGTGATGATACATACAGTTTTACCTTGCTGATAAAGTTAAATCTTATATCCTGACAAGTACAGGTAGTCCTTGACTCACAACCATTCATTTAGTGACGTTCAAAGTTACAAAGGCACTGAAGAAAGTGACTCACGACCATTTTCCACACTAATGGCCATTGCAACATTCCCATGGTCACGTAGTCAAAATTATCCACAGTGGAGCTTGTCCACTGGCTCATATTTATGACGGTGGTTGCTGTGTCCCATGGTCATGTGATCACCTTTTGTGACCTTCTGACAATCAAAGTCAAGGGGTGGGGAAGCCAGATTCACTTAACAACCATGTTATTAATTTAATAATGGTAGTGATTCACTTAACAATTGTGGCAAGAAAAATTGTAAAATGGGGCAAAACTCACTTAACCGCTGTTGCTTAAGAACAGAAATATTGGGTTTAATTGTAGTTGTAAGTGCAGAACTGCCTGTATTTAATGTTCATTCTTCAGAGCTCATGCACCATTATTTCTTTATCGCATTTACTATGAATAATTCTTTTTTTTTTTTACAGAGATATAGTTTCCCCCCCCCCCCAAATTTATGGTACCCACTAATAGTTTTGAGTTAAAAGAACCTACTCTAAACTGGACTGCTTAATCCTTTCATCCCCACAATAATACTAGACGTCATATAAAATACAAACATTTACTCTATTTGTTATAAAACTAGTTTAAGAATCAAATTGATAGTATTTAATAATAAAATGCAACAACACAACTGTTATACACAGAATTTTATCAAAAGCAATATGTTAACTCAGAAATAGGTTCCATTGGGTTAAATGTGGCTTATTCCTAGGAAAATGCATACATTACTGGATTGCAACATAAAAAGGTGAATGTTTTAATTGAGCCTTTTGTGACTTAAAGCAATGACTACGAAAAGGAAAATATGTTAATTTTAAGCTGCAAGAACCACATAAATAAGTTCTAATAAATTCCGTAATAAACTTCCACATGCATAACACTTTTCTGTCAGTTCCAAATTTACTGTCAACAGTCACTAGAGAACACTGTTGTGCTGTGTCCTTATCCAGAGAACTAAAATCTTGTTTAAGAATAGAGGAGGCTCAGTGGTCAAAAAATAACCAGAAGCATCTCCTGAAATTATTAGAAGCTTTGAGACTTTCTAAGAGATGTATTCATGAGACTGTGTAGAAATATAATGTATTTTAAATAATTTGCATTTCAAATATTTTTTTCTGACTTGTTTCAGATATATGCAACTTTCATGAGAAAAGAATTCTGAGTGGATTTCTGAGAAAAGAATATGTTAAGGTAGATTTTCTTCATTATCTATAAATGTCAAGATTCTGTACCAATAGCCTTTTGTTTGTACAAACCCACATCCCTTCGAATATGTAATATATGCCCTAAAATAGTGTAAAACAAATAACTGCTTTACCTAAAACCATGTAAAAAAGGTAAAGTTCCCAAAAATATGCATTATATCGCCTGACCCATTGAGGCTACTCGAAACAACTTTAGTCCCACTAAATCACTAATAATCTCTTGTTTCTTTTGCATGGAATTATACCCGTTTGTCTGTATTGACACACAGTGAACAATTAATATATTCTTGTTTTGGTAAGCAGTCAACTGCTAATCTGAACTAAGCTGTCATTCTCAGCAGAGGCCACAATGGGTAAAATTAGGGAAGGGATTTTTTTTAAAAAAGGTCACATGGGAAGTGTATACTGAACACTTTCTATGCCTGCTTTCCTTTATTTACAGACCACTGTATCCCTTTTCAATAGTGATGGTAGAAGAAACAAGAAAAATATTGTGGTATTTTGAAGCCCAACCAATTTCACTGCTGAGGGCCTTTCATGGACAGAATGCCATTTCCAGGAACCCCATTATCAAGCCTTCTCCATGGTCCCCCCTCGTAGAAGAGATCACTCCTTATTATCTATGGTTTCTATTATTTTTCTACTCCTGAATAGATGTGTTGTCTACTAGACTGCAAAGAAATCAAAAAAACCTTGACAGATAAATATCTTATTAGGTTCAGTACCTGGCACTGAACTGTATGAGGCGATTTTTTTTAATGAAGCATTCTTGTAACCAATAAAGGAGAGTGTTTGTTCCTCAGGGTTGAAATGAGGGGTACTTCGTGCTTTCTGGAATTGGTTGTTTTCTTGTAGATGTTTCCTTACCCCAACTAGTAACAAGATTATGTAATATGTTACCTAGTTTGGGGAATGAAATGTCTGCAAGAAAACAAGCAAGCCCAGAGAGCATCAAGGATCCTTGCAAGGATGGCAAAATAGTTCAAGAAAGGAAACAGGAATTCAGGCCCTGAAAAAGTACAGCTGACTTGAAGTTCACTGCAACTCTTATTCATAAATTTGAAAGCTTTAATCTGAAGCGGAGTTTTCCACTATATCAGAATTGTTCTGACTTTGCAGACTGGCGATGGCAGGAGAGGGAATGTTTCCATGCAATTGGCGGGTAAGTTCGCGCACACAAAACTCCATTTACACAAGGGGTGGGCACTCAAATGGTGTTCTGCCTTAGGCTTCCCCCAAAAGCCCTAAGCAAACTCTAAGTCCCTGCAAAACCTCTTTTATTAAATGAATGTGAATTTATTGCATTCACAAAATCGGGGATGAGGATTTCCAGAGTAGCTCAGATCTTATCTCTCTTGGAAAGCTGCCTGGTAAATATTTCCACACGCACTGCTGACAGGGAAGGGCTGGGTTACACACAAAAAAAAAAAAACTTCAAGAGGCTGGAATAAACTAACAAACAAATGAGCAAGTTGTTTCCTGCAAAAGCCTCCTCCACTTTTTCTCCTCTTTTAATCTTGATGGGAGGGGCCATTCATCGTCCACCTGTGGCCTTACTCCCACGTCGACCCTGAGTTCTTAATTGTTCATTCCTTTTGGAAGCTCTGCGCATGCGCAGGCTGGGAACCAGCTACAGCTGCTCCCCTGCCTCACTGCTGTCCGAGCCTGAAGGCAGCTTATAACTGCCAGCCTGCCATGGCCCCACCTCTGCCTCTGACACAGAGCCCTCGTCCGAGTCTTCCTCAGCCTCCAGGACTGGCCCAGGTTCCTCCTCAACCATCTCACTGTCCGACTCTGCTGCCAGCTCCGTCAGCTGCTGAGAGGCCACAACAAATGGAGCAGATGCTCATTCACTGTGGATGCACTCCCTTGCCACTTCTGCAGACCAGTTCTGAACAGCCCAAGAATCAATACAGGGCCGCAGCCCAGGGGTTTGGGGACCCCTGAACTATAGGCTTAGAAAATTAACTTTGATCTGCTACAGAAAGCCTGATATTGAAAAATCCTCTCTGACAATCTTTGAATCTATTTTTGATCTCTGACACTGGAATTTGTTATTGGAAAGAGGAAATAAGACGCATGCTAGAAGAGCTAAGAATCCTACTCCTCTGCTATGTTTCTCAAGTGGGGAAAAGTTAGAACAGAGATTAAACTTTTTTAAAACTATTTTTCTCCCATTGTCTGAAAATGAGGCAATTTAACAAAACAACAAACAAAAATGCTGGAACAAACCAGTAGTGGAATTCAATTTTTTTTACTGCCGGTTCTGTGGGCATGTCATGGCTTGGTGGGCATGACAGGGGAAGGATACTACAAAATCCCCATTCCTCCCCATCCCACTAACCGGCTTTCCAGCTCTGTTCTCCTGTGCAGGGCAGCAAAAAAAGACTCAGTCGATCAGCTGGGACTCCAGAGGCAGAGAATAGATGGGGGCAGGGCCAGTCAGAGGTGGGATTTGCCAGTTCTCTGAACTAAAATTTCTTCTACCAGTTCTCTAGAACTGGTCACAACCTGCTGAATTCCACCTCTGGGACAAACACTTCTCCATTTCCCCATTTGTCAGGCCAACATGGTACAGCACAAGATGAAGTAGAGCTGTTTACAGTGTGTGTGTTTCAATATAGTCAAGTTATCATCCATGGGGTGGTTGCTCCATCCCTTTTTCTAAATGTATCGTGATGTAGATAAAAAAGGGGAGGGCTTCCATCTTGATTTTTTTGACCTCCCTTATAATAGTCCTGAGAGGAAGATTTTGATTATTTTCTATCTGTATCCAGCAAAAACTAAACCTTGATGTTACTCTAAAACTACAGGTAGTCATCAACTTGCAACAGTTCATTTAGTGACCAAAGTTACAACGTCACTGTAAAACATGACTTATGACCATTTTCCACACTTATGCCCATTGCAACATCCTCATGGTCATGTGATCAAAATTCAGACACTTGGCAACTGCCTCATATTTAGCACAGTTGCAGTGTCCCAGGGTCATGTGATCAACATTTGAGACTGTCATGCCCCTAGTGGGGACTGACTCTGAGGGAGAGAAGGAACAGCCAACAGGGAGTGGAAGTGTGGCTCCAGAGGTTGTGGAGGAGGCTGGGGAAGGGCAGAGGCTGGCTGGGCAGTCAAAGCCCCTCTCCATCCTAGAGCATGCAGGGAGGAGAGGATAAAGGAGAAGCATGGTCTATGGGGAGGAGAGGGCCTTGATCCTCTTCATGGGCTGCAGCTGTGACAACTGGATAACTGCGTATGGGCCAGTGCTGGAAACAAAGCATGGAAATATCTCTGGTTTATTGTTCCTCTCTGAGTTTGACATCCTTCCCAGTGTGTGTTCTGATATCTGTGGACGTCTTCAAGCCCTTATCTTGCTAGTTTGTGTTTTTTTTTTTACTCTTTATAATTTATAGGCATTTTTAGTTTAAACAGCATTTCCTCCTTCTTGTAACTGCTTGTGTGGGAGTTTTTTTGTCTCCAGTAAAGGATATTTGCAGCTTGGAAGCAAAGTGAAGGAATAAAAGGGGCTTTACCTGTTTTTTGTGGCTGTGTTTATTTTGTATCCTACCCTGGGTCATCACAGAGACCTTCTGACAAATGAAATCAATGGGAAAGCCAATTCACTTAACAACCCTGTCATTAACT